CTTTAGATGGGCTCTCAAAAGCGGCAATCCAACATATAGCTGAGGAGTTTTGAAAATAACAAATAAATTAGTTAAATGAAGAAAGCCTGCAGCGATAAGTGGCATAGTTTTGAGACATAGGAAGGAGCTTACCTCCTGGGTGTCTTGCTATTGTAATTTTCAGCATCTGGTTCAACAAACGCTCGTCCTATGCCGACCTGAAAGTTTTTTTTTAAAATCAGTATTGAGCTCAGTGCTAACCTTAAGCGTATGAGGATATTTTTCTAATCAAGCAAATTTCAGTGTTTACCACTTCAACGAAACTGAAGCGATTTGAACATATTACGGACAGATAAAGCTATGAAGAAAATATTGCGGAGCTTGGGAGAAGTGCTGAGGCAGAGTTAGACAAATGTATGCCACAGATAAACTATTATAGTACTTCCAGCAAACTTTTAAAGGCCAGTTCAGAAAAGATGCTTGGAGCTAGAAAAAAAGGTTTGCGGATGATGCGCTAGTGGAATCGATGAAGTCTGCTTTATATGGAAGTTGCTGGCTGTTGAATAGTGTAATTCGTTTAGAAATCTCAAAAAAAGTTTTGGCATAGGTTCATCATTGAAAGGCATGGAACATGCTCTGCAAGATTACTCGCCTACTAACCAAAATTAACATAATTTCAGTTTATTTAATAATCATAGGATTGAAAGTTGCGGAGAACAAAGAAGAGGTACTCCAACAACTGCCATCAAATTTCAATTTTCGAATTCCAAAACGCTGAATGTGGTGGTTATTGACATGGTGATTATGACCGTTATATTCATTCCGCACAATGGGGAACTACTGTGCGCTTACGCTGGTGGATTATTTGAGATGATGATCGCACGGCAGGGGTCTCCCAAAATGGACACCTAATCAAATCTTCCTTTCAGTTGGTCAGTCATTTGGTCAATTCATCGTCTACTTGTCGTAATCCTATAGCAAGGTATTATCGTGCAAAATGCATATTATTTCCGGGATAAAGATGACAATTAAACGTCTAGACCAATTTCCAGCTAAATTTGTAGTTTTGGCCTATCCATTAAGTGACCACAGCAACCTTGT